ACCGTGCAACTGATGAGGCTGTAAAGGCGCAACACGTGTCCTGCAGTTTATAAGTGCCATAATAGACCTCATGAAAGGCTCAAACTTAGCTATCAGATTACATTTACGTAACGATAAAAACTCGCAAGTTTTGCCTTTTTGTCACTCCAGACGAAAATTTCTTAGAGAAGATATGACAAGAAGTACGGTCGCATCAAGTGCAAAACATGGAAATGGTCAATAAAATCACTAGAAAACCTAAGGAACATTGAGTTAGTACTCTACTTACCTTAAAAAGGGTTTTCGAAGGAGATGTGGTATCATCGTCAGACCATCGCCTTCCTCCTCTTATTAAAGATTCGTAAAGAACAGATATTTTGTCTCTTAAAAGTGAGCCCGCAACGGATATATCTTCTGTGTACGCGGGATATGATGAGTATATCATTCCATCAAAGACTCCTTAACATCTTATCGACAAAGTGACAATGAAGCTGTTATGTTGAAATGTGACTCGAATAAACACTCAAAAAATTATATACATATGTGTATGTATATATGTGAATGCATATATATATCACTTATATATATGTTTATCCATATACATTCACATGCGTACATATATCTACATATACGTATAAACATTCTATATATATGTATATGTACATACATATATGTATGTACACCTGCAAATTATGTATATATATATATATATATATATATATATATATATATATATATATGCAAGAGATATGCCTGACTCGTATTCTACGTCATTCATTGAGAAGAAATCCTCGAGCAGCAGTCTAAATGACACGCGAAACGTTTAGAGAGACTTGTGCTTTCCAGGAAACAAATAGAGTGCTAGAAGTGCTGGTATCCTCACAGCAAAATGTGATCATAGATCGTGCAAACATGTAAATATACATACATATATATACATATATCTATATATATATACATATATATATATATACATACCTACATAGATGTATATGTATGTACGTATGTACGTGTGTAGAGGACAGTGAAGTGGACTCTAAAAGAATGCAAGCATCCTCTTGAAAAACCAACGAGGATGAGCGGACGTCTTTGTGGCTAACATCAACCATGTGCATCCGCAGATGACAACGAGTTTAAAATAACGGAATGAGCTTCGCGTACGTCACTATGCTCGAATCAGACCACCACAATAGAAGAAAAATTGCGCGAGAGAGAAAAGAAAGAATCTTTGGTGGGGCTTGCACCACCAGTGAAAAGGGACCTGTAAGTATTCGAGTTAATATATATAAGTATATATCACCCAATCATCGCCTCACGGTGGATGGAGAATGTTCGCTGCATTCAACCTGCGATTTGTTGATAGAATTTACAAATTAGCAATCTCTTAAGCCAAGGTATTCATTATTATCATTCGTATGCGAAGCTACGAGCAAACCTTTTTTCCCATTCAAGTATGACAAGCTTCACATGTTTTTTTTTTCATAGTAGAAACGGGAAAAATAGAAGCACAGATTTTTGCATGAACTTCACATACATGTACATAGAGTGTCATAAATACCAGGCAATAGGATGGGTGATATAGATTATGAACGCAAATGTGTACATAGATGTATATATGCACACATAGGTATGTACAAATGCGTATACATATATATATATATATATATATATATATACGTATGCATATACATATATGTACAATATACAGATATATGCATACACTTTTACATAGGTACAAAGACAATAACACATGCTTCAAAATGCAATACTGTTACATTTTGAATTTTACACACTTTTGTAAGCGTAAACGCGAAGTAAATCTTAGTTGGCTCTTTGAGAAGAAGCAAGTATTTGATAGGAAGACGAGAAAATATGGACGTGTGGGAAACACTGCATTGTCAAAAAAAAAGGCAAAGCAATATAATTGGGAGCGGCGGAACATCAAATGTTCGCTATGAGTCCACACGGAACTGAAAAGCGTCATGTGAAGACTGACAAAAAGCTTTATATCCGGATAAAGTACTACTTAGTAAAGATATGAGCAATGACGAATATTTCAAACAGCACCACGAGTATATTATGAAGAATACTAAAACTCGACGACGGAAATGCTATTCATCATAGATTAGGAAATCGATGAAGGGGAAGCTGTAGCTTCATAGAGCGACAGTACATTTCTGAAGGCGGCACTAATAAATTAAAAAGTCCAGATTGATAGTGCAATGTAAACTGCAATTTACGAGTTGCTCAAAAATTCCAAAATGACAAAACAAACATATTGAGTTCGCCAGAAATATTACAAGGAAGCTACCACACTTGGAATGATCGACGTCGGGAAAATATAAAATTTATTTCAAGACACTTTGTCAGAAAATGAATAATGGAAAGATGATCCAAGAAATATTGCTACATAGGTGTAGCTCGCGTACTGGCCTTATCATCCTTTGAACAAAAGTGTCGTATATTCAAATAATTCATCCATATACATATGTATATATACATATACACGTACATATATGCATGCATATACACGTGCATGTGCGCATGATATATATATATATATATATATATATATATATAATGTATACACATATGCATGTAATATAATAAGAGCGCGGACGTAGCGCAGATGAGGGATGCGGTGTAACAAAACACGAGGTGATGAACGACGATCTGTTCAAATCCCCTACCCAATAATCCCTCGCAATGAATCAAGTGAACGTCCAGGGACACTTTGCTTTAACCCTGCTACCTCCACGATTGTAAGGAGAATCGTCTGAACCAGTATTCTACGACATCAAAAAAAAAAAGAGGACAAAATTTTCAAGCAGCAGTTGAAATGATTCTCGAAAAGCTCGAAGTCTTTGTGAAAGAGGAATGCGACGAAAGGAATCAAATGTAAGAAGTGTTGGAATCGTCGAAATAAATTAGCAGAACGGGTCGTGCAAATTAGTATAAATGTGAATATATAATAAATTGCAGATTTTATACATACATACAAAGCATGGGAAACCAACAAAAAACTTAAATTCTTCAATGTCAAACTCTAAATGATGCCATAGAACTAGTTAATACATCACAAGACCGAATAGGGACGAGGATTGAGGACGAAAAGACAAGTGATGACTCTGCGAGAACCTTCTGACATTTTTATGCGTAGTTTAGATAAGAGTGAACACCGACACTTCAATAACGCCATATGTCACATCAAGCTTCAACAAGGCGATGAAGCAACGCACTAAGCCACGAGTTCGTGCAGCAGCAAATCGAACGTAACTCATGCGGTGTACAAGCTAAAAACGGATTAGGCCGATGGGGGCTTCGTGTGTGAAAAACCTCAATCGATTGCAATGCACTCTAGGCATACTCTCGCCACTACCCGAGTAATAATAAGCCTGATATACCTACATTATGTAACTGAGACTTTCTTCACTAGTAAATGAGCATATTGGTGGTCATGATGATGACTCAACAGGCGACGCTCGTTCAAAACATTTTTTAATTTTACTCTCCTTGACCTTGTCTTGGGATAATACCTCTAGAGTGCAAGAAGTAATATGATTGGCGAATTTTGGGAAGGGAATTAGTTTTTGAGTTAAATACATTTTTGCTATAGAATGGAGTCCGTCATAGAACCCATTTTCATAAAAGAAATACAAAATGGTGAATTAAACTCCTAACACAAGTACAAAAATAGGAATAAATTTGTCCTCGGTTATGGAAAAGAACTAAATGATGAATAAACTAAATTGGAAGTTCAAAGGAAGAGAGTAAAGGTGATCAATCTTCCACTAAATTTGAGCGATAACTTCACTGAAGAGGGGACGAGCTAGTTCCTTGCCACGTCGACGCTTCCGCGACCACTCCATCTTTTTGTTTTTATGTCTCAGAGTCATTATCCATATAGATGGTTAAATTTACATGCATTCGGCTGCAATTTAACAATCTATTGTTCTTTCACCACCATGACATATCCGAGCGTTCACTGAGCCTCCATATTTCCTCAATTCTCGTCGAGCTACGCGTGTTAGATGGGTCTGCTGCTATATATGATTGATATCCTCCTACTACGATTAATTCAGACGGCGGCAGTGAATCCTGCGATTAGTCGTCGATCTCTAACAACCAATCACACCATTTTTCTTTGACAAAAATGAACATCTTAATTGTTCTCATACGCAATTGCACACAATCGTAAACAGAGTACATGCAGCGCAATGGTTAGAGCTACCGTAGAATAGACACATGGGTGTAGAAAACTGGGTTTGAGAATTTTGAACAAAAAGTAACCCTTAGATAGCCGCATGTGTTCTTCTACAATTCAGAAGCAGTGCTGTGGTAAAAAGCACCGATGTCGAAGACCTGGACATGTTGCACTGATTTCATAAAAAGTGTGCACAATAAACATTGTAAACAAAAAAATAAATTCGATTCAAGAGGACTATGTTGGTACTGAATATGAACTCTATATCAGAATCAAATGAGGTCTATCGATGTACGTAAGCACTATAGGATCTACATAAAAAGCGTACATACAAACTTTAGGTAACAAGAGTCATTTTTTTATAACCTAGGTTGAAGACAATACATGTGAACTACATGCGAATGCTATGATTTTCTATGAATAAAGCTCTTGCAACAATAGTAAAATGTCACGAGAATATGAGATCAAAATACGTATTCTTTCCAAAGATGGAATTAAATATTGATGAGTGTGTACTTCATCTACGTTTATTCCAGCTTCACACTAAAAGCAAAGGATGAAACTTTCAGCATTGATCAATCTCTGAGGGATGCGTCACTCATTCGACTTCATTAGGCATCATCAGAGGTGATTCAATGCACACTTGGCCTATACAACGCCATTTGATAGCTTACCGATTTATCAGGTTGATGTTGTCCTATCAGACAAATCTCATTTCTCGACCCCAGAAAGATGGAGGGTTTGATGACGCACAGGAGGGATCAAGCCAACAACAAAGCTTGTACACCTGAGAGAATTGAGTGATGAGCAAAAATACGACCTCAGACGAGAGTCGGACCCGCATTTCATCCATACCGGGGATGCGTGATACCACTACACCACTGAGGTACATTCGAGTCACCACTCACTCTTCAATATTTCTATTGTCAGCCACCAACCTTTGAGAAGTTCGGTCGGGTATGCGATTTCGATTTATAACCCCGTTTCAGCTGACAGTCATTGTGATAAAAAAATACTCAGTAGTTCTAGTGTTTTTACAGCCTTTTTTGGCAGTGTAATGATATTTCATATATACCTAAGAGAATTGTGTGGTGAGCAAAAAATATGACCTCAGGCGGGAGTCGAAGCCGCGTTTCATACATACTGAGGACGCGTGCTACCACTACACCACCGAGGTACATTCACGCCACCACTCATTCTTTAATATGTGGTAGCACGCGTCCCCAATATGGATAAATCGCGGGTTCGACTCCGGCCTGAGGTCATAATTTGGTTTTGCTCACCATTCGATTCTCTTAAGTATACATGAAATATCACAACACTTCAAAAAAGGCAGCAAAACACTTGAAATGTTATGTACTACTTAATAACGCTTGTATTTCGCTGCACCTTAAACTACTGCGTTGTACGCACTTTCATACTGAAAAAAATATATCCTTATAACGACTAAACAACAAGTTCCTCTGTCTATCTACGGTCCAGGGAGTTTTCGGATCGCATTACACAAATGATCATGTGAGATACTGGATGAATAAAAGAGGGTTCGCTTTATTTGACCGCCTCTAGCGGTGGTATAGTGTTTTAATATATACCCGATAATGTAGAGTGGTGTGTAAAAACTTTTTGGTCAGGTGGGATTCGAACCCACATTTCACCTTATTGGGGGGCGAGTGCTAGACCTTTGCTCTACCGATGCCCTTTTTTGACACAACTCTTTCTACGCTACATCGCCTTATCTGTCCTGGCGTGGGTAGTCGCTATCGACATTGAACCCACTTGTGCTGACAGATATTGGGTATTAATGATCAACAGAACTCATTCTATTTGACCGCCTCTAGGGTGAAATATGGTATCGAATCCCAACTGTCGCAAAAAGTTTTTGCACACCACTCTACATCATATATTGGATGAATATTCAGTAAAAATCTAAGAGCACATCTGAGGCGAGTTCACCGAATTCTTACTGAATGTATACAATTAGCATTCGTTCAGTAATATCTCCTCACGCCGTAGGCTCATCTGCATCAAAAACACCCGAAATATCAAAAGAAATATAATTTCACTTAGAACTCTCACAGGCAATCAATCACTTTTATGGCCAAAACTCATTAGTGAGTTGGAGCATTTGTTCGACCAATGCTCAGTAGTCAACGCGTAAACACCAATTTCGTTCTCTTCCACTAGTTAATAGTAGTAGACATACAAACATCCATTTCACTCTACTCTCGTTCAACTTTTTTTTTTCTGGAATTTTTCGAGTTTCCAAGACTCTGAATCCGCAGTACAAAAATATTATGGGCCAAGCTGAGCTTTAAAGGCTGGGATAATTTGAATAGTGACTATTTCAAAATCAAGATTTCAAAGTGACAAGAACATCCAGATTTGTCATGTTTACAAAAGAGAAAATATATTGTTGCCACTCGCGTCTTCTGGACAGTTTCAGAAATGTGTTGGTGACAATAAATGAAGATTCATAAGGAGGACCATCGCGTACGATCAGCACCACTATAACACTTCGAATACATGTTATTATCATGAAAACATTCAAAACCGGGATATTGAGCGTTCAATATCATGTTGACATAGAGTAACTGCTCACAAGCTCTGCAACAATCCGGCATATAACAACAATGATTGAAAAAACGTGATTTAGGTTTCGAACTGCCATTTTTCAACATTAATGTCTTGAAAGCCATTAGAAAAAACGAAAGCCCTCCATTTATTATCGTAGCCGATGAGACTTGCGCCAATCTATAGATATTTTTGAAGACGAAGTCGAGGGAGAGCTAAATTGTCACATATTGAGATGAGTGACGTACAATTATACAGCACAGAATAGTCCTCGAAAATAATAACAAGGTGAGGATCTAACATTATCTCAAGGTTGCTTTCGAGTACAACGGGTTTCGCTAATAGAGAATTAAATAAACCTCTTTACACTTCTTCTAATTTGAAAACGCCCGAGAACATAAACTTTCTATTCTTGTCTCACAATTACCACATTTCGAAGTGCTTGCATCCGTAATCTCCATAAAAATGAGCGGTAGCCTTGAAAAAATGTTGATAGCGCCATTAAATGATTCAGGTGGTTCCGACGTAGGTTAATTTAGACTCCTAGCTGAAGAAAGAGACGACCAACACAAGTTGGCTTCAATACATAGGGTATAAGATGAAAAACTATAGGGGGGGTCGACTAGAAAGTAGCCGTCATGTGAAGCAAAGTGTCGCCTTCTGATGTCGAAGAAAAAAGCTAGACGAACGCAAAGTTAGTAGTGTTAATCACAAGCAAAACTTCAGTCTCTCAGCATTCTGTATGTTGTTCTCACTGTCACTTAATCGAATGACAAGAGTTGCTTCGCACGTTATAGAAAGTCGGACTGAATTACATCTCCCGTCAGATATTGAGCAGACATTAGATTACGACTAAATGTCCACATTATTTCATGTACCAATCTCCAACACATGAAAATACTGAAAACAAATGGAATCGTCAAGATAGCTATGAAAAATGATAACGGATGTACGATGTATATAGAGGAGATATTTTCGCCAAACCACCTTATATTTTAATTTTAACTACTCGTTATTACGCTTCAGCAAACGGATCCCAGCACTGGCATTCAACTCGTTTCCTCGCATTCATCCTCCACAAACGGTTTTGAACATTTCATGTGATGGTTCGGCTCCATGATTTTACCTTCTTTACAAATGTCGTAGAAGATCGTTCAAGACGATTCTCCTTGTGAACTTGGAGGTAGCCGAGTCAAGGCTTTGCCACCTCATTGATTGGAAGAGGATGTTGGAGTGAGGGAATCAAACCAGGGCCCTGCTTATCACCACCTACCTGATACAACGCATCGTTAACCACTGCTTACCTAGCCTGCTTCAAACTCGGTCAAAATTAAAGAGCAGCAAGACTTGGATTCGAAATACGAGAAAGAATTGGAGAAGCACTCAATGAAGACAATTCGTCAGACGAGTCCAAATGCATAAGTGTAGTTCCAAAGATAGCATCCGATTATATTCGGCTAGCGTTTCCGACGTCCTTGCCTTCTTCAAAAGCCGATGATTCGAGACGAGTGCGCATATTTCTTTTTCCTCGTGCAGTGGTTTTTCGTTGTCGCTCGAGTATAGCCTTCTTCGGTGAAGTACTGCCTCGACCAGCTTGAAACATCGGTTAAAGTAAAGCAGAGACGTCGAAATGTTAGTCGAATAAAATTTTTATGTCAATCTCATAGTACTTACCTAAATCGTAGAAAAAGCTATCACTGATTGGTTGGTTGTGCTGAGGTTAAAAGAAAGTGGGTTTCCAGAGTAGTTTACAAGCACCAAATCGGTGCGGATCCGTTAGCCAAACGCCACTTCGACCCCTTGTAAAAAGCTTATTATGCGCTTGATTTTGTTGAGTAATCATTCGATAGCCTGAATCAAATACTTTGAATAATCTATCTTAACTTCAAAAAAACCTTATTTCGCTGAGAGAACAAAAATAAGTTTTATTTCCCAATGGAAGATTTCTCGCTGACCAAAGCTTTTTCTTCCAAGTTTCATTAAGCGATCGATGGACCTGGTACTACGCTGTAACAGCCAAAAGAGGATTGGGCTTAGCAAAACTGCAAAGAAGGCATTAAGTGCAAAACCCAATTTTCCTTTGATTGTTGTGAAGCACTGAGAAGTTCATTAAAGAAACCAAAAACATTATTGGAACCCTTGGAATTTGATCTAACGTTTGGTTCCTAAGACTTCAAAGGGACGCTTTGATCAGCGAGAAATCTTTCAATGAGATACGTGGTACTATCTATGTTCTTTCAGCGCGATAACAAAGTCTTTTTAAAGTAAAATACATTAATCAATTTCTTTGATTCAAGCTATCGATTGATTATTTAAACACCAGAAACCATCAAAAAATACGTTTTTTCTTAATGGATCGGAGTGAATAAAGGATGGTTCAAGTGATCGATATTTGCGAAACCCGATCTTCTTTTGCCTGTTACAGCGTAAAACCAGGCTCGTCATAAAAACCAAGTAGATCATTGAAATGCTTAAGATTTGATCTATCGACTAGCTAGCGAAACTTCCAAGGAAAAGCTTTGATCAACGAGGAATCTTTCAATGAGAAATAAAATTTTATAATTGCTATATCAGCGAAATAAGAAGGCTTTTATGAAGATAACCATTCAAATTGTTTTGACTTCTTTCGAACGATTATTTGAATATTAAAAAAGACTAAAAAAAAATAGGTTTTTTAAAGGGACGAAGTGGCGCTTGGCTCACGGATATGTACCCCAAATCAAATGTGATTCATTTATTTACCGCAACTGAATGCGACTGGCAACATGTTAAATTGAATAAAGGAAAACAAAGCTTCATCGTAGAAAGTGATAATTCCTCAGAAGAACTTACAAATGCTTCAAAGATAAAAAAAATACTACAGCAAACGCATAAAGATTTCGTATAACAAAGGAAACCGCTTGAAAAGTTTGAACTGACGGTACTTTTCTGAACACTGCATGTACGAATATTGTGAACAACTATCAAGCAAAGTTTCAGTATTATCCGTCTTTGGAAAATATAGACAACACTTAAAATCGCTCTTTTCATGATCCTAGTTTTTCCTCATATGTGATATAGGTTGGAGTAGAGCAACACAGTGATCAGTGATGCAGCGCACCAGAAAGCCAGCGATGGAACCTACACGCCGGTTCGATCCCTTCCCATAACACTCTGCTATGCTCATTTGATTGAACGTCTGAGCTCGCCTATCTTCGATTTCAAGTATGATCGTCTCGACTAGTATTCTACGACGATCGTAAAGAAGATGATATCGCGAAACAGTTGTCAAAGATACCAGTGAAATACGTGGAAATCTTTGTGGAGGGTGATCGTGG